GGAAAGGTAGATTGAGAGGCTCCGCATCTCACGCAACCAATATGGGGTGCGGAAGGTGATGTGGGTTCTCCCTGTCGGTGGCCTCGTGGCACAAAAACGAATTTCCTGTGGTGTCGGCAGGGGAATTGTCGGAAATTCTGACAGCCGTCAGGCAATATCGAAGCTATCTAATGTACGTGATAACAAGCCCCTTCTTACGTTCAACATGTTTATTGAAACCATTTATGCTCAGTACCTGTGTAATGCTAACCCCTCTTGTCTTTATTCAATTGCTTCATGGTCACTTTTAGCATAAATAAGTTCTATTGAGACCTATAACATTCTGTAGAGTCTCAATATAATCGCAAGAACAGTGTTGCATGATCCAGCTCACGTTATACTGAGTGTGCAAATTGTAGTGGTTAATAGTTGGCAGCTGAACCATAAGGTGTTTGAATGAGCACTGCTGTACACACCGGTGTTCGTGGAAATGCTGTCAAGATCGGCCACATCACACCTTGAAAAGCACGCTGCACGTGTGTGACATGAAGGGTTTGATACAGTAGTTCGCTCAGGAACGTTTGAATGAGCACTGCGGTACACTCCTGCGAAAAACGAATTCAAGCTTTTCTACATTACCACAACCACCACACATCTGGATAGTGGGCGGACCGCTTTGAATCCACCTTGCCGTGTCTCTTTTAGAGACAAGAGAGTAGTGGTATGTGCTGCTGGCGTTTCTTGCTTCATGTTTGTGCTAGATGAAATCTTTAATGCCCGTATACTTGATGTACATTCACAACTATACGACACATTGAATCTATCCTAGTTTACGTAAGAGCATGCCATTCTGGCCTGCCAGCCGTTGGCATTCTTCTAAAGAGTATACGTCGAACGTCTCGACAATGGGGTTGTGGGATGGGGAGGGGATGGGGAGGGGAAGAGGGAGGGGTTGTGGCTGGAGTGGCCTCAGTAGCGGAAGGGAAGGAGGGGTCAGGGGAGGAAGGCGAAGAGACAGGAAGAGGAGAGATGGGGGAGGGGGGAGTGAGGGGGGGAGGAGAGTCAGGGCGGCGATGGTGTTGCGGATGAGGTTGACTCGTTGGTTGGAGGGGGAGGGGAGGGAGAGGGCGGGGTTGTGGCTTGAGTGGATTCAATAGGAGCAGATGGAGAGGAGGAGTCAGGGGTGGGAGGCGAAGAGACAGGAGGAGGAGGGGAAGATTCAGGGGGGGGTGGGGAAGGGCTAGGGGGAGGAGGTGAGGGGTTGACGGGAGGAGGTGACGAGACAGTGGGAGGAGGCGAGGGGTTGAGGGGAGGTGAAGGAACGGAAGGAGAGGGAACTGAAGGAGGAGGAGAGAGACTGCCAGCACCGGTAGAGTCGCCACCACTGCTGCTCCCGCCTGCATCATTTCCGGTGCCACCACCACCTCCGCTCCCACTACCGCCGCTCCCAGTGCCACCACTTGCATCACTCCCACCGCTCCCTCCGGTGTCATCACTCCCGGTGCCATCACTCCCACCGGCAGCATCACCGCCATCGGGCATGGAGTGCAGGATGGCGTCGGGCACGAGGAGCGAGTCCACGAGGTGCACCTGGAAACACACATAAAGAGGAGAGTACAGGTGGAGAGGATTTTTAGTCGACTCAAAAACCACTTCTGTCACTCCCATCAGCAGCAGAACCACCATCGGGCACGGAGTGCAGGATGGCATCTGGCACGAGCTGCGAGTCCACAAGGTGCACCTGGAAAAAGGCACAAGTGAGAAATTGGAAACGGGAATGGAGACAGGTGATCAGTCGGGCATCGAATGAAAACGACAACGGGCTTGACACGTGGTGTGCAACGAGGAAGAAAGCAAAACTCAGCGCGGCGAGCCACCAAGGTACACGTCTGGAAACAATCCGTCTTGGCGGGGCTGTGAGTGCGTAAAGTGGACTCGAGCTTCAAGAGGATTCTGAGCCAGACTCAAGCACACACCTGGAAAAACTCCGTTTTGGCGAGGTTGGGCGCGAGTAGAGTGGATTTAGAGCGGCCGCTGCCTGAGCGGAAGACGACCGTGAAGAATGCGCTCTCATCCGACTTGAACATTGACTCCTTGGCGAGCGTGGGGAACTGCGCAAAGGGAGGAGTGGGAGAGGGACATGCAGTGGTGCATGTGAGGTGCGGAAATTGGCGGAAGAAGGCGCTCTCATCCGACTTGAACATTGACTCCTTGGCGAGCGTGCGGAACTGGTTGGGAGAGGGGGGCACGCACATGGGTTGCATGTGGGGACGGAGGGAGTCGGTGTTGAGAAAAGATGGGAGGGACGGAAGACGACATGAAGAAGGTGCTCTCGGCCGAATTGCACCAACACACCCACAGCCCGCCCTATACACTCACGCCGGTGTCCGCGGGTCGCTCGACGAGCGCCGTGTAGTCCATCTGTTTCCCCAAAATCATGTGGTACCGCAGCGTTGTTCGCGCGAGCGACGGGTTATTGAAATACGGCGACGCGGGCGGCAGCGACTGCAGCGCGTCGGGGGACGGCACGAGGAACGTCGCGCCGGCGCCGTTCCCCTTCGTGATCGACTCGAGCAGCACGGAGAGAAGTCCCGCGTTGCTGATATACTTCACGAACTGCTGCTGCTTGCTCAGGCCTTGCACGAGGTTAAACACCTTCTGCGCCTCCGCGAGATTGACCATGACCTTGGGCTTGGGAACGGTGGAGGAGGAGGTTGAAGTGGTGTTCTTCTTCTTGCCGAACAGCTTCTCCCGGAGCTTCCCCTTTTTCTTCGTTTCGGTGGTGGCCGGCGATTTGGACGGAGATTTCGACGGCGATTTTGACGGTGATTCGGACGGAGATTTTGACGGCGATTTTGACGGTGTTTTTGGAGGCGAGACTGACGGTGTCGGAGACGGCGTTTGCTCCTTCGCTGGTGGGTTTGTCGTTGGCGAGTTTTTCTTAGTCGGCGATGGGCTTGCTTTCGGTGGCGACGGGCTTTTCTTAGGCGGCGAAATATTTTGTTTCGCCGGGGATTTCGCAGGCAACTTTACTGGCGTTTTTGTCGTCGTTGGCGATGATGGATGCTTTGTTGACGGCAAGGTGGTTTTCTTTGTCGGAGTTTTCGGGGTCTTGGGCAGAGACTTGGTCGACGGCGGCAGCGGTTTCGGCTTCGTCAATTTCGTTATAGATTTTTTCGAGGATTGGCTAGTTTGCGCCGTAGTCGACTTCACTTGCTTCGTCGCAGCCGAATTCGCTGATTTCGCAGAAGATTTCGCCGACGTCGCAGCCTTCTTTCCGGCGGATTTCACTGACGACGACGACGATGAGGACTTCGCTGCGACTGTTTTCGCCCCTGCGACTGCCTCACCCGCAGATTCTCCCCTTACTAGCCGCGGTTTCTTTGCTGGAGATGCGGCTGGTCGGGTGGCAGATTTTGCCGTGGTCTTAGTTGAAGGCTTTGTCGCTTTACTGAGTGCAGGAGCTGGCGTGCAGATAGCGAGAAATATAACTATGCAGAGAACGGCGGCCAGGACCACCGCCCTTCGGCCCGCCATGGTCAGATCGACAACGGAGATCTAAAAGCAACCCTGACAATGGTTCGTGGAAAATATTACTCTATATCGGCCTAGCCGTGAGGAGCTAAAGGAGACTCAAGTTCGAACTGTGAATGAAGCGGCGTAGTTACAAAAGGATCGAGAAATAAGTTGTACTCGAAAGGAATTTGGCAAGGTAGCAGCGTTGAGCGGAAGTATTATACGCCTGGATCTAAAACAGTAGAGTCGGGTGCCACATCCGTATGGACAGGGATGCGCGGTGATTGCACGCCAATGTCGGTCGGCGATGTGTGAGCAGGGTGATACTGGAGCTGACGGGTCAACTATGGCGAGGTAGCTGGATTAGTAACAGGCTTTGCATGAGGCAGTGGGGGGGAGTATTCACAGTTACATCGGGAAGGTGGTTGATAGGTGCGAAATCAAGGGAGGGATAGTTGGGGGAGTGAGGAAATTCATGCCGTCGATAGCAAATTGTGCGATGTCGGCTGTTGGGCTGGGGAAACGAGGTGGAGGGGGAATATTGAATTTGCCATGCCCCGCTTTTCATCCCGAACCGCATCCGGCCATCAATGTGAGACCGATTCGCAAACGTCGAGGCGCCTTGAGATTGTTTGGGAAGCAAAATTGATGGCGCGGGAGGTGGGTGCTGGAGGATGCACGATGACAGATTCTGAAGTGGGCGACGGGAATCGCAAAATATGAACGGCTGAGATAGGTAAAAGGCTCGAAATTCTTCCCGTTTCTTTCGCAAACCAGGCCTGGATTCGTTGAACAAAATTAGCACCATAACTTGTGTGCTGTACCATTATGAACGTAGGTAGTGGTTTATTGTACTTGTTATAAGCCATTAGCATAAAGCCCAGCCAGCCTTCTTGTCTTCACATAACAGGGATGTGGTGGAGTTTGTGGCATAAGCCCATGCATCACAACGTTTCCACGCCCAGCAGTGTCAGCCATAGGTCCTTGACATCTTGTCCTAGCGAAGGCTAATATTACGATCATTCGATATTGTTAGACAAACCGTTCAAGAGTTTGTTCAGTACGACGCACCCAATCCTGGTATGGGCAATCCATACCGTGGATATTGCATCGTTGATGATGTAGCAACTGTTGTGAGTATTAGACTGATAGCAATTAATTCGGGTACATATGTGACATCTCTACAAAAGTGTGTACTTGTCAGTGAGATGGCTGTTGCATCTGTTTACAACGAGGCACTATACATTGAACAAGGCCACAACGTGCTACAAGGAAAGTGGCACGCCCTGTGACATAAGGGAAAGTAGCACTAGTTACACAGCCATGGCAGTGACCAGCCAAATAATCTCCAAAAGGAAGCCGAAGAATGGGAAGCAGATGTGTCCATAGAACAAGAAAATCGTAAGCTGCTGTGAGCGTGGGCAAGTGGGAGCTGCTTCACTGCTGCCTTAAGAGTCGACTCAAGAGTCACCGTGCAGAGGGGGCCTTTGGAGACGTGGCAAGAGTCACTGCGCAGGTGGTGCTGGCACTGTGGTGTTGGGATCTGAACTGGACAGAGGAGAAGTTGCTGTTGCCACGGCTGGGATTTGCTTATCTGCTGCCACCGCTGGTGGCGGTGGAGATGCTATGGGAGGGGCTGACGGTGCGGATGGTGGGGTAGGGGTTGCTGACGGGGATGGCTGGGGAGGTCTTGGAGGAGGGTTTGGAGGAGGGTTTGGACGAGAGGATATTGTAGGGGATGTTGTTGGAGGGGCGAAGTAGACCGAGTCTGGGATGAGCAGCGAGTCCAGTACATGCACCTGGTGGAGTGGGGTGCGGTGCGGTGGGGTGGGGTGGGGTGGGGTGGAATGGAGCAGGGTGAGGTGGGGGGTTTGGTGGGTTGGGATCAGGTGGGGCGGGGTGGAGTGGGGTGGGGTGCAGTAGAGGGTGGGACTGGCCGGATGTGCATGGAATACGGCAGCAAGGACGAGTGGGGAGTGCTAGACCTGCATGCACTCACGTGTGCCGGATATCCCTCAAACCCATATCCCACACCTGCATGCTCTCGTCCGTGTATGTGTTGGGCATAATGATGGTGGCACGGTAAGGCACTAGACCTGCATGCTCTCACGTGTGTCCGAGAGCTCTTATCCCATAGCCCCCTCCCCCATAGCCCTCACCTGCATGCTCTCACGTGTGTCCGAGAGCTCTTATCCCATAGCCCCCTCCCCCATAGCCCTCACCTGCATGCTCTCACGTGTGTCCGAGAGCTCTCGTCCCATAAACCCCCACCTCATAACCCCCATCAGTAGGCTCTCGTCCGTATATGCGTTGGGCATGGTGATGGTGGCACGGGAGATCCCTCTGGTTGCACTCGCAGCAGCACCATGAAAGTGAGTCCTTGACACACGTGCTTTCGTGTGTCTCCCATACCACAACCCTCACCTGCATGCTCTCGTCCGTGTACGCGTTGGGCATGGTGATGGTGGCACGGGAAGGCCCTTGGCTCGGCCGCAGCACCACGACAGCAGGTCCTTCTCAAGTGTGCACTCATGCGTATCTCATCCCATAGCCCTCACCTGCATGCTCTCGTCCGTGTACGCGTTGGGCATGGTGATGGTGGCACGGGAAGGCCCCTGGCTCGGCCGCAGCACCACGTTGAAAAGGAAGCTCGCTGCGTCCTTCACCAGTGGCTCGTGCTGATCCGTCATGTACTGCAGGAGAGGAGAGGGGGAGGGGTAGGGACAAGGAAAAAGAAGAGGGAGTGAGAGAGAATGAGGCCGCAGCACTACGTTAAAAGAGAAAGCTCGCTGCGTCCTTCACCAGTGGCTCGTTCGTGCTGATCCGTTTGGTACTGAAGCGGAAGGAGGGCGGAAGGAGGGACAGTGGAAGGGGGGGAGAATGAAATGGGGAAGAACAGTAGGCGAGAGGGCAGGAAGCCGTAGCACTACGTTGAAAGAGGAAGCTCGCTGCATCCTTCACCAGGGGCTCGTTCGTGCTGATCCGTTTGGTACTGCAACGGAAGGAGAGGGGGAGAAAGTGGGGAGGGTAGGTCGGGGAGGGCGATGAAGAGCAAACGAGAGAGCATGAAGCCGCAGCACCACAGCCCCATCCCCCTCCCTCCCATCCCCCTCCCACCCCCCTGAACCCCACTCACCATGGTTCCAGTGGCGGCTTGAGTCAACTCCGTGTAAGTGACCTGCCTGCCCCGCACCACATGGAAATTGACCACTGCCGTGGCGATGGCCGGGTCGTTGATGAGGGGCGAGTCGTCGGGCAGGTCCTTGATGGTGTCGGGATCCGGTACGAAGAATGTGACTTTCTCTGTTGAGTTGAGTGCCTTCCCCATGAGAGTGAGGAGACCTGGATCCAGGAGGGGATGAGAGGGGGCAGTGGGAAGGGCGAGTCGTCGGGCAGGTCCTTGATGGTGTCGTGGTCGGGCACGAAGAAGGTGACTTTCTCCGTTGAGTTGAGTGCCTTGCCCATGAGGGTCAGGAGACCTGGGGGGTGAGAGGGGAGGGGATGCGAGGGGAGGGGATGCGAGGGGACAATGATGAGCGGCGAATCGTCGGGCAGGTCCTTTATGGTGTCGGGGTCGGGTACAAAGAAGGTGACTTTCTCCGTGGAATTGAGGGCCTTACCCATGAGGGTCAGGAGACCTGAAAGAGGGGTTGGGTTGTGGGATAGGATAAGAGTAATAATCGGGGACGAGGTGGGAACGTCCTTGATGATGTCGGGGTTTGGCACCTCCCTTATAGAAGGTAAGTGTAATGAGGTTATTTTTGAGACGTCTCAAAGATAACCTCATTACACGTCCTTGATGATGTCGGGGTTTGGCACCTCCCTTATAGAAGGTGACTTTCTTAGTCGAGTTGAGTGCCTTGCCCAAGAAAATGAGCAGGACCGCGGGAGGATGGCAAATTGGGAGGGGACTACGGAGGGGGCCATGCCACCATACCATGAACTTTAGGTAGGGAGGGAATGGGGGGTGATGGTTGACAGGGGAGATGGGAAACACTTAACAATATTTAAGGAGCGCCTTACCTCAGCTGATCGCGAACATCATAAGCTGCGGGTCGTTTAGGTACGCCTAAAGCATCGTCAGCACCTCCCGTAGGTCAGCACCTCCCGTATGGAACAGTTCAAGCGCCTTACGGAATCCTGAAAGTCCTGAAGAGCTTCATGAAGCCCAAAGAAAAAAGCCTTACCTCCGTTGATCGCGAACATCATGAACTGCGGGTCGTCGAAGTACGGCTGTAGCATCTTCAGCACCTTCTGCGCGTTCCCCAGGTCCACTCCGCCGCTCCCCGTGGGCGGAGACGGCGGGGGCGGAGGCGGAGACTTCTGCGCTGAAGAAGGCTTGCGCCGCCTCGGGGGAGAAGCAGGCGGGGGGGACTTCGGGGGAGACGGTTTAGGGGGAGACCGCTTAGACGGAGACCGTTTAGCGGGGGGCGGTTGCTTGGGGGATTTTTGCTTAGGCGGGGAGGAGGAATGCGGCGGGGGGGGACGCTTCTTGGGGAAGATCGGCGAGCGCTTCTTCGGAGGGGAAGTTCCCCGCTTCGGCGGGGAAACTCCGCGCTTAGGCGGGGACGTATTAGATGCGCTTGCAGGACTTTTCGTGGGGACCTTCGGCGAATGATTAGCCGTTTTCTTCGGCGGCGAGGGCGTCTTTCTCTTAGGTGGCGGGGACGCTCTGATCATAACGCTAATTAATCTGCTGCCAAGCTTAGGACTCTTCTTGGTCGAACCGGGCCGCGGAACCGCCAGCGGCGGCAGCGGCGGCGACGGACGCGCTCGTTTCAGCAGCTCGGTGTAGAGCAGCGATATGGTCTCTCTGGATCGCGCGGCGCTCGCCGCCGTAGGTAACGGCGGCTCTGGCGGCGGGTTTTCCGCGAAGTTCTCCTCTACGTTCCGGGGCTTGAAGAAATTCGGCGCGTTTGACGGCGATTTCGACGCCGAGTTTACGGGATTCCCGCTGCTACTCTTGAAACTGCTACGCTTCTCGGCGCTAGTATGGATGCCTACTAGTTTAGAATCCGGTGACGCTGCTAATACGCGCGGATATCCTCTCCCGTTGAGGGCGCCAATCGCAACGGATCGAGCGCTCATGGCAGCGGCATCTGCGCCAGCTACGGCGGCGGTAGTTGCGGCGGCAGCTGCGGCGGTGATTGAGCTTCCGCTGGGGGACGGAGCTGACGCGGGAAGGGCGGAGAGAACGAGTAAAAATAACACGAAAGCTAGAGAAAACGCTACCATAGACAATGGCGATGCTGATGGCGCTGGCGACTCGAAACAATTCCGCAGTTGATCCCTCCGCCGACAATCCGCCATGACGGATTGTCTAGGTCGCCTTGATCCTACAGGTCGGTTCAGGAAACAACCGAAGCTTATCCAAATCAGGTCGTGAGGTAGCTAGGAGGGAAAAAAGCTGATTGAAGATCTAACATTAAAGGCGTAGGGTAGCGAGGAAGGAACGAGGGCAGCGCGGTTGCGGGTGTGTGATCCTAATGGACAGCGTACTATTCTCTTACGGAGACCAAACACATACTAACTAAGATATTGGCACGAGAGGAGTACGTGCTCATGTAGTCGCGGAAACGGAAAGCCACTGCGGCTCGATGTCGGTAGGTTTCATCCGGGACAAAGTCCTGAGATCCAAGTTCTAGTTGAATAGAAAACCGCCAGCTCACGCTATGCTAAAGGCCTTTTACGATAGCCGTCCACTACAACTGTAACTGTACCACCGCGTTGCGACATGATCGGTAGAAAAGAAGCATACCGTGGAAGAAGTGAAGAGGACGTGCCAATATGTCGTGCGGCACCCTATTTCGCTCTTTTTTTTTGGTAGTTTGCTTGTGAAACCGACGGCCAAAGCCGCTGTTTGTCGGTTGGTAAGATCGGTGCAACTGGCGCCCGCTCTTCCCTGTTTCAGCATCCCACATTCTGACGAGTCAACGCGAGGACTTCCCGTGAATAACTAAGAGTGAGAGAGTGGGTAGCAGCAGTGCTGTGTGAGTGGGAGACGCGGCCAGCCATGCTAGGTCGAATACAAATGGGGAAAACGGAACGGAAATATTCAGATTGAAGAAACATGAGGGGAGGAAACAACGACAGGTTGATTGGAACGCTGAGGAAAAATGCGGGAAGAATTTGAAGGAAATTGTTTTGAACTGAAGACATTTCGCGAGGACGACTCGGTAGGCGCCCCGTGCGATGCCGACACGATCGCTGACAGAATCTGGTCACCACGTGGCTGGTGGAGGGTACACTATGGTGTGAGTTCTCGAAGTGTTACATATTCACATTTTCAAGCTCTTTCTTCATAAGCATTTTGAATTTACTGTGTTAGTGCAAGGAAAATCCCATTTCCTTACTTCGCATCCCTGCTCAACGCGTACATCACTGTAGCACCACATTCAGCACCGTTACCACTAGCAATCCTCGCATCGACAATCCGCCCGCCACCTTCGCACGTCGCACCCCGACCTCACGGCTTGGTGGGCAGCCCGCGCTCCGGGCCTCCGCTTCGACACTTTTTCCCAACCTCAGTCCCAGGCTCGTCGCGCGACAACCACAGTCCATTACCGTTACCACTGTAGTTTCGCTATATATTCTTCGCTCATGGCTTCGCTCATTGTACGGTTGCTTCGATAGTGCAATTCTCGTTCATTCACTCAATTGCACTCGTAACACTTTGTATTCAGAGCCTACGATCTCCTCTCGGACCGCATCCACAATTCGCTTACCCACTATCTCAATTTTTGGAGGGGGTAGACGTCTCTCAGCGACACACCACCGCCGCTCTTAGTGCTCTCTCGTAAGCACGCACGGCCACGACCGAGGCTCTCGCTGAGCTCGCCCGACACCCCCGCAATGGCCGAATTCACACTCGCCACATTGACGCAGGAGCAGCTCAACCGTCTGGTGCGCCAACTTGAAGATTCGGCGCTCGAAATTGCGACGCTCACGGCGGAACAACACTGTCAGAACATTATAGCTTATGCTGTTGTGTAGGCTATAGTGGGGTATCCCATAGGGGGTACAACCCATTTAGGGTTTCCTATATGTACTCACTTCATTCATAGTTGATGCATTCTCGTTCTCATTTTCACATGGAATCATAGCAGGTCCCCTCCTAGGGACTGTTCCTTGGGCCCACCAAAGCGCGCCTCGAGTCGCGCCTGCCTTTTTTTTTTAGCGGCCCGTCGAGTCGCACCTAGCGGCCCGTCGCGCCGCCCTTACGGTCGCGTCGAGCCGCCCTAGCGGCTGCGGCGCGCCGCCCTTTTCCCGGCCCGTCCCCGCCCTTACCCGCGGCTTTGCGCCGCCCTCACCTGCGGCCTCGCGCCGCCTAGGCCCGTCGCCGCCCTTCCCGCGGCTTCGCGCCGCCTCTACCTGCGGCTTCGAGCCGCCCCGGCCCGTCGCCGCCCTTACCCGCGGCTTCGCACCGCCCCGGCCCGTCGCCGCCCTTACCCGCGGCTTCGCGCCGCCCTTGCACCGGCTCGTCGCCACCCTTACCTACGGCCCGTCGCCGCCCTACCTACTGCCCGTCGCCGCCCTTACCTACGGCCCGTCGCCGCTCTTACCTACGGCCCTCCGCCGACCTACCTATGGCGCACCCGCCGCCCTAACAACGGCTCACCCGCCGCCATACCTGCGGCCCACCCGCCGCTCTACCTGCAGCCCCACCCGCCGCCCTACCTGCGGCCCCACCCGCCGCCCTACCTGCAGCGCACCTGCAGCCCTACCTGCGGCTCACCCGCCGCCCTACCTACGACAGCCGCGCTGCCCTGAACCAGCGCCGCCGCGCCGCCCTACCGCCGATCCGCCAAGACGCCGAGCCGCCCTGCCGCCGAGCCGCCCTGCCGCCGAGCCGCCCTGCCACCGAGCCGCCCGGAAGCCGAGCCGCCCTGCCGCCGAGCCGCCCGGAAGCCGAGCCGCCCTGCCGCCGAGCCGCCCGGAAGCCGAGCCGCCCTGCCGCCGAGCCGCCCTGCCGCTGAGCCGCCCTGCCACCGAGCCGCCAAGCAGCTAGACCGTCAGAGCTGCCGTGTCCGGTGAGCACAGTGCCTTCTCCCCCTGCATGGCCCTCCCTCCCCTACTGTTTACACTGCTCGTCATCTGTAGTCATGGCTACCCCTAGTGTCCTCACGTTTGACGCTGAGGGACGAGCCGTAGACTTTGAGGTCTGGGTCGACGACCTACAGCTCTTCTTACAGTGCGATAGGGCAAACAGCCTCTCTCTCCTTGACCTTACCTCTGGCGCTTCCCCTGCCCCTGCTGCTAATGCTGACGCCACTGTTTGCTCCTAGTGGGCCACGCGCGACGCTGCAGCACGTCTTGCTGTGCGTCGCCACCTCCCTACCTCCAAGCGTGCGCACTTTAGCCAGTACAAAAGTGTTCAGACCTTCTACGACGCTGTAGTCGCGCGCTACTCCTCCCCTGCCACTGCTGCACTGAGCCGTCTCATGCTGGCGTACCTCTTCCCTGACCTTGCTGCTTTTCCCACCGTAGCTGACCTCATCACTCACCTCCGCACTAGTGACACTCGCTACCGCGCTGCACTCCCTGCTGACTTCTGCGCCGCGAACCCCCCTCCCATGTTCATCACTCTGTACTTCCTAGTCAGTCGACTCCCTTACTCCCTTCGCGTAGTCAGGGACCACTTTCTCTCAGTCTGTCCCACCACGCTCACCGTAGACCTCCTCGAAAAGGCCTTCTTAGCGATAGATAAGAGCATAGTCGCTGTAGGAGCCTCTCGAGGTGACCCGCGCACCCCCATCTTTGAGGGGGGTTCTCCCTCCCCCCTGTTGCCCTCCGTTGCCTCTGCTGCTGCGGCCGACCTCCTTGGTCTTGAGTCGGTCGGTGCGGCGTCTGCCCCTAGCGGGAGACGCCGCTCTGGCAAGGGCAAGGGGGGCAAGGGAGCTTGAGGAGCGGGCGGTGGAGGTGGAGGTGAAGGCAGTGGGGGGATTGGGGGTGGCGTTGGAGGTGGAGGTGGGGGTGGGGGGGTCGGTGGCGGCAGTGGAGGCGGAGGCGGCGGCGGCGGTGGTAGTGGTAGCGGAAGTGGCGGAGGAGGCGGCGGTGGAGGAGGCGGTGGAGGCGGCGGCGGCAGTGGAGGCAGCGGAGGCGGTAGAGGCGGTGGGGGTGGCGGTGGAGCTGGTCGCGGGTCTTTGCAGAGGAGTGGCTCAGGTGGTGGCTCGCGCCAGCAGCAGCAGTGTGGTCGTGCGACCCTGTCCCCTCAGCAGCTCCGTGAGTGGTACACTGCACGCCAGCGGTGTGGGGTTTTTGGTCCGTGTACCTACGTCCTGCGCACCGGCGACCGTGCGGGTGAGCAGTGTGGGGGTGCGCACCCCACTCCGCGCTGCTTTGGCCACATGACGGACGCGTGGCGTCACCAGTTCCCGGAGGCCTCCGAGATCCCTCACTGGGACGAGCTGTCTAGGGCGGGGGTTGCCATCTTTGATCTTGAATTTGATGCTATTCTCTCTGCCATGTATGCAGTGTCTATTAGTGATGAGGGTGACTTTTACCGGTGTTTCCAGGCCGATCCGGGCATTGAGACTGCTGCTCTAGGTACTGGTGCGGCTGCTGCCCTAGGTGCTTACGACACTACTGCTCTAGGTGCTGGTGTGTCTGCGTCCTCAGGTACTGGTGAGTCTGCGCTCTCAGGTACCGCGTCGGCTTCGGCCTCCCTCACCTTCACTCTTGACTCTGGGGCGTCTCGCTCCTTCTTTCGGGACCGCACCACACTCACGCCGCTTAGTCGGCCGGTTGCAGTGTCTCTGGCTGACCCCTCTGGGGGTCCGGTCCTGTCTCGTTTCTCCACAGTCCTCCCGTGTCCGGCGGCTCCCTCTGGCACCCTGTCTGGTCTCTACCTCCCCTCGTTCTCGACGAACCTGGTGAGTGGTGCTGACCTACAGGATGCGGGTGTCCACCAGTTCACTCCTGCCCGTCGGCCAGTGACCCACTGTAGATAGGCTGGCACAGGCCGACACCTGGCTACGTTCACCCGCCAGCCGTGGTCGAGCCTGTACACTCTGACCACTGCGTCTCCTCCAGTTGCTGAGTCTGGTAGGGTAGCCACGTCAGGTCAGGTGTTTGCTTCGGCGTCCAGGTCTGGTCCTGAGTCCGCCCCCTGTTCGAGACTCTCCTCTGGCACCACCGCCTTGGCCACCCCTCTCTGCTTCGGCTCAGAGGTATGGCCTCCCGTCTCCTTGTGTCTAGTATTCCCCGGTCCTTCCCTTTCCTTCCTCAGGGCCCAA